GACAACAAAGCAAGTGGGAGTTGAGGTTGAGTTGCGGAGAAAATCACCTAGTGATCTTGTAGCAAATACTCAACAAACTCATGTGGTTGTTGTAGAGGAACCAGCAGTAGAGCAAGTGACACCTGAACTAGTGTTGAGAAGATCATCTTGTACTATCAAAGTACCATATATGTATGTACCTTCATTACACTTTTATCTGTTGCTTATGAAAGGGAATCAGAGCCTTTTGATGAGGCTCTACATTTGGAGGATACAACCAAGTAGGAGCAAGCCATGGATGATGGGACGTCTAGGCTTCAAAAATGTGTTGTACTGAGGCTGAGTACTTGGCAATAGCTGAAGCGGGAAATAAGACGATATGGATGACAGATTATCTGGAAGAATTGGGAAAGATGCAGCACAAAAAGATTCTTTAAAAAGATAGTCAGAGTGTCATACAGGTGGTGAAGAACCCGGTCTATCATTTAAAGATGAAACACGAAAGGCGATACCATTTCACTTGCACGTTAGTGGAAGATAGTGATGTGTTTTAAGAAGATAGAGGGTGCAAAGAATCCATCAAACATGTTGACAAAATGTGTTGATGTTGGAATATTGAGATTGTGCAAAACCTTAATTGGTATGGTGCAATGAAGATATTCATGATCGTTTGAAAATGAAATTCTTCGTTAACTGTATCAGTCTCCAAGTGGGAGATTTGTTAGGTTATAGAGATTGGTGAGTAAACGGTTATACTAGTAAAATTATATTACGTAAATGATAGTAAATTGTTATTATGTATAATAAAAAGTTAAGCCATATATGATAAATAGTTATATATAGCTAAGCTAAACCATATATATATCTTGGGCAGTGCTCTGAAAATGTATTTTTTTTGTATTATCTCCTAGGTACATACTTGAAGTCATCAATATAAATTTTTTGGCTAGAGTTCTCCCTTCATTTTCTCTATCCTTTTCTTTGGTGTTCATCAAGATCGAGTGTGTGCGTGATCCTAACAATTTTCTTAAATGATTCCGCAATTTTCTACCCATTCCTCGAACCAATAACACAAATATGAATTGTTCTTGTAGTTGTTGCATGTTCCTCCTAAGTTAAACGGTTCAAACACACTTTTACCCCTCAACTTTCATCCTAATTTTAGTTTACACTAATTCAACTTTTGAATTCCTAACACTTTAATCATTTAACTTTAACCCCACTTATTTTACTAAATCTCTTTAAAAGTTAAGTGTCAGTGTCGATTTTTATTATCTAACGACTCAATTTTTATACTTTATAAATAAATTTGACCTCTAATCGATTTATCAAGTTATATATTGTTTGTATTTATATATTAAAATCTTGTAATTAATTATTTAGTAATAATTTTGATGATTTTAGTTGCAAATGGGCATTATCTACTATATGAAAATTGGAGGGTTATTAATATAAATGTTGAATAGTATGCAGTTCATATTAGAAATAATCATAATAGAGAAATAACTTAAAACATATAAGAATACCAATATCATAAAATATTTATTTATTTTTTATAAAATTTATTAAGTAAAAAAAATAATATTATATGAAATTGTATATATTTTTAAAAGCATTATAGTTATATTGAGAAAGAAAATCATTTTAGTAGTTAAATAAAAAAAAGTATAATTATTTTTTCGGGAATGGGTTAACTAATAATGTTTACGCGTAACTCTACGTTTCAAATACACAATAGGATGTGATATAAATAAATTTATTGATGAAAGTATAATTATTACCTAAGTTAAAAGAAGGGTAACATATTAAAGTGTTGCGTGACAATTTTGGTGTAAAGCTACCTGGAGATATTAAATGAAAAAGTAGTATCCATTTTACTTTGTTTGGGTTGATTTGAAAACGATGGAGCCAATTAGTCAACAAAAACAAAAGTTTGAATATTAATTCCACACTGTGGAAAGTTGGGGGAAGACATAGACTTGACCACATATCGTTTAAATTAAATGTATATTTGAATGGGTTGGTTTATTGTCATTTGGGAAGCGTGAAAGGAATATCATCATTTCTCCAATTCCAACAACCGCAACTCAATTTCAGACCCCACACGAAATTAGTTCGAGACGCGATTATTATTTCTTGGAATGGGATCTTGTCCGCCTCTTCCTTCTAGAATCATAATTAAAATATTAAATCAAAAATGGAAACTGGAAACAGAGTAACCAAGCGCCTGCCTTTATATATACACCCAGAGAGATGCTATGGGTCTTTGTCTTTGAGCTCCCACGCCTACGATTCCATGGCAAGAATCTATCCATTCTTCGTCTTTCTCTCTTTCTTGATCTCCTCCGCCATGGCTGTCGCTATGCCCGAAGTGGAACACTCCTTTGCAAGAACGGTGGACAGAAAACTTATGGGTTTCAGAAAAGAGAAGCTCAGCCACTTCCGTTTCTACTGGCACGACGTTATGAGTGGCAAAAACCCAACCTCGATCCAAGTGGTGCCCCCTGTTTCGAACATGTCGAGCACATTTTTCGGGACTGTCCAAATGATCGACAACCCATTAACAGCAACTCCAGATCCGAAGTCGAAACTATGGGGAAGAGGTCAGGGATTGTACGCATCGACTTCGCAGGAGGAGCTTGTGCTGTTAATGGCGATGAATTTGGAGTTTACGAGTGGGAAATACAAGGGGAGCTCCATCACTATATTTGGAAGAAACCAAGTTATGGCAAAAGTTAGGGAGATGCCTGTAATTGGTGGAAGTGGGCTGTTCAGATTCGCGAGAGGGTATGCGGAAGCCAGAACCAGCAAGGTAGATTTCAAGACCGGGGATGCTGTTGTTGAATACAACATTTACGTACTTCATTATTGACCCCATTTATTTTTTTTGTCTGTGTTTGCGTTTTGTTTCCTTAATTTAGTTGTTTGGAACAGAACAGAGTATTATGTTTTTGGTTTCAATAATTTAAATGTCTGTTTGTGTTAGTGGGTTTGGTGGGTGAAAGTGGAAGGCTGGGAGTGGGTTCCCTGTATTGTATCATTTCAAACCTCCATTAACTTTTCTTCATATTCTACAAACTATATGACTTGCGCACCTGAGAAGGATTGGTTGAACAAACAAATTACGAAACAAACATGCTCTGCTGCAGCTACCAAGCAACACTCAAATGTTTTAAAATGGGAAATACAGAGAGGGTGGTGGGGGAAGTTGGCATAGTCGCGTGTATTACATTAACTAATTAGGGGATCCACCATGATTTTATAAGTAAAAACAAAGTTATGGTTCTCAAGGAGATGAAATGATTAGACGATAGAGGGCCACTTTGAGAGACAAGTGTATCTCCCGTTTTCTTTACGTTTTTAATTTGAATATCGTTTTCATGTTTTTTTAATTTAAATAAGTATTTTTTATTATTCTTAGAGACTTCGGTGGCACTCCAGGTTCACATGATCCACGTGTAAATACGGGATTGGTTGAATCATAATGATGAACCCCACTAACACTTGGCACATGTCCTCCTACTCAGTTTTTGTTAATAAATTTATAATTGTTACTGAGAATGAGACAAAATTGTTGGATGACAATTTTTACAGTAATAGATGAACAATATAATATAATATAATTAATGGAAAATTGATTTTTAGGATTCTTTTGATTCACATCTACTCCTACTCATGATTCGCACGTCTATATAAATAGACTTGTTTAGTTCATAAGTTCAGGAACCCGAAGCTCCAAAAGACCGGATGGGAAAGAAACATAGTTCCGGCAGGCATGGAAGCTAAAGTCAGGATTTTGAGCGTTATTTTGTTGTCGTTGGCCATCAACAATTGGGTGGTCAGGGTAATGGGAAAGAAGGAGGGATATGCAAGCGAGCTAGACCCCAAAGTGTTGAAGCTGAAGAAAGAGAAGCTCACCCATTTTCACTTGTACTGGCACGACACTTGGGCGGGAGAAACCCATCGAGCGTGGCAGTATTGCCATCGCTGAAGAACGGGTCGACGTTGGGGCTGATGCACATGTTCGACAACCCATTAAGCGTCGGGCCTGACCTTAAGAAGTCGGAGCTGGTTGGGAGGTCGCAAGGGATTTATGCTTATACTGCACTAGACCAGGTGGGGCTTCTCATGGCCATGAATTTCGCTTTCACTCACGGTAAATACAACGGCAGCAGCATCACCATCTTGGGCCGCAACGCCATCCTCCAGAGGGTTCGTGAATTGCCCATCATCGGTGGCAGTGGCCGCTTCTGCTTCGCCAGAGGCTATGCTCTTGCCAAAACTTACTATTTCAACCCCGCCACTTTTGATGCCATCGTCCAGTACGATGTTTATGTCTTGCATTATTGATTTCTTGTCATTATTCTCCATCTCTGCTTTAATCTTATCACTAAAAACATTAGCTTCTCATGTCACGTGTCTGTAATTAAATTAATAAATGTTTTCTTAATAAGACCCTAACTGTGCTTTGGCTTTACCATTCATAGGAACCACTCATTTCTTATTCCAATTCACGTGGATGGACCCACCCACTTTATTCAACATCTCTTTCTATTCACATGCTCTGTACCTTTGTTTTTCTCATCTGTAGTCCTTTCTGGGTTCAGTACAGTTGGAGTCATATATTAACTAATTACAGAAAGATCATGTCTCTATAAGCAAATGACATATTTTTATTCAATCAAATAGGAACCATAAATGCAGTCGCTATAGGGAGCATGATATCAGCCATGACGTTTGCTTCATAGACTGCAACTCTTTTTCGTTTAGAATACATTAATGAGGGTGATCGGAAATTGCTAATTATAATTTAAAAAGCAGACGTTTTGGAATTTTACACGCTAATAAACAAAACATCGTTTTGGTTATCACCAAATTCATCGCATTCGTATATCGCTGGCAAAGATCTGACGATTGATAATCAGTCAAACATGTCCTGCCCATTCTCCATTTTACACCTCATGCCATTATTCGTATATACAATATATATATATATATATATGTACACACTTCCAGTTCTAGGTTCCTCATTCTTCAAGCTACGAATTAAGGTGAAAAAGCAATCTTCTGGGTAGCGCTGGCCGCCATGGCATCCAAATTCGCCTCCTTGGGTTTTCTTGTGTTGTCCATGGCCATAATTAGTTCGGCCATGGCGAAGGAGTATTCATTCGCCAGCAACCTGGACCCCAAAGTGCTGAGGCTGAAGGAAGAGAAGCTGACCCATTTCCATATGTACTGGCACGACGTCGTGGGCGGGACCAAGCCCACCAGCGTCGCAGTGTTGCCAGGGCTAAGCAACAGCACGTTGTTCGGGCTCGTCAACATGTTCGACAACCCGTTAACCGTCGGCCCTGACCCCAAATCCCAGCTCGTGGGGAAGTCACAAGGCCTGTACGCCTCCGCTGCACAGCAGGAAATCGGGCTTTTGATGGCCATGAACTTCGCCTTCACTTACGGTAAATACAACGGCAGCTCCATCACCATCCTCGGTCGGAATCCCATTCTCAACACCGTACGAGAAATGCCGGTGGTCGGAGGATCCGGCCGCTTCCGTTTCGCCAGAGGCTATGCTGAGGCCAGAACTCACTTTTTCAACGCCACCTCATTGGATGCCATTGTTGAATATAATATTTATGTGTTGCATTATTGATCCATATGTCAACTTCCCATGTAATTGCTTTATTTTTCTTTTCCATCTCAATAAGGTTACTGCGTGATTGTCGTTATATGATTATTTTTATTTTTCTTAATTGAGGCTTTAATATTTGAAGCCCTTACATGATGCGTCATGTCGGCTAAGCTTATTCATATTTTATTCTAGTGTCAATAAATCTGAACTAGCTTTTTCGTGTCTAAGTTGTGGATATACTTTGGCATGAGAGGGGTAAGCTTTTTGCATGTCTAAGTAAGTTGTGGAATAAAGCTACGTAGCAAAAGATGAAGACCGACCACACTTCTTTTTTGGGCTTCTTTTTTTCATTTATATGCTCAAATATATTCTGGTCTGTCTATAAATAAAAATGGGAGCAGGCAATGAAGGACACAAAACACGCCAGTAACATGTAATATGGCGAGATACTACTACTACCACCGGTACCCTTACTTGGAGTACTTGACGTTGCCTCCTCTGCAGCTGTGCGTGTTCGGTGGGATCCTGGTGCTGGTGATGGCCTTCTCATGGTATATTTTCTACGACTCCTTTCTTGAGGACATCATCTTCCAACTCAAGCTCTTCCTTCTCACCGTGCCCTTGCTTTTGCTGCTGCTCCTCCACCTGCTCTCCCTCGGCCTCCCTTTTCTCGTCCCCTTGCCGGAGCAGAATTCCCTCCACCGCGCCGGCGGCTCACCCTGGGGCGTCGCCATTCTCCTCGTCTTCCTTCTCTACATCATCTCTCACCAGTCCCATTACCACCGTCGCTGGTTCCCTTTCGGATATAGATAAAACCACAGCATCCATCCATCTTTAAAATTGCTTATTATCATCATGTACCCATTAACATATTTTGTATTTCATTTTCTTCCGCTCATCTTTTGCTATATGTATCAGTTATGTTATTAGAATTATTATGCTAGAGCAAACAAACCTAAAAATTCAGATCCAAGTATAATTTTTAATTTTTTAACCTCGTGAGGACAAAGTATTCATAAGCTCTTCAACATGCACTATGCTTTTAGAATCTAATTCATTACTCGTTGTAATGGAAACGCGGTTGGAAATTTTATGTGTAATGTTTGAAAGCCTCCATCCACTTTTGAAGGTTCCATTCTTTAGCTGAGTGAAAGGTGTATGGATTCTTTGTTCCCGGGCATTTTGTGCTCGCAGAAGCAAACAAAATTTAAGAAAAAGAATCCCAATTTTTAATCTACAAAAGTATCCACATTCGTTTTGCAACGCTGCCCCTTGGAATATTCGATGATTTGATCGCGATACAATATTGTATATTAAATGTCTCAATTATGCTTGTCTTGCCTGGACCGCTCATTGTGGCATGCTCATTCTAAACTCGCTTCATGTTTGAGGCTTTATCCATTTAAACAACCAAGCTATTGCAACTACAGGGAAGGGAGCAGTAAGTACATTAGTTTTGGGATTAAAAAGTAAGATTATAAGGTTAAAAGAAGCATAGATCTTTTTCGCTTGTTTGAACAAAGGATAGAGAGATTCAATTGTGTAGTAACGTGTGGTTGAAGTTGAAAGAGAAATCGAAAATAAAAGTGATGTATTACTCGTTTTTAAGTCAAATTAATTATAATATTATATTTTTCAGTGTCATCTAGCGCAAGACAGGCCCAAATCGAATCTAGAGGTTTGGTGGACCGGTTCAAGGTCTATCCAACGGCAGAATTGATGCATTGAACAACCCCAATTCCAACTTCGCCTACTTAAATTAGGACTCAAATTAATATGTCATTTGAAATCTTGATTATCTAAGAATATAAATATGGTAAGCATCTATTTAATTCGAATATAATTTAAGGGACTACATAAAAAGTGTGGATATCTAATGGTTGTGTTTTTCCCAAGAATATATTATGCCAATTTATGTGAGAAAACGACTAAAAGTAAACACAGTAAGTAAATATATTAGTTTTGGATAAAAAAGCATAAGATATTAAAAATAAATGAGAAATGAAAAGGTATATCCGGAAGATCACGGTTACGCGTTATACAGACATATAAACACATGATTTGATGAGTCGATCGCGTTCGCATTCGCATTCGCTATTTTGTTTCCACGTCATCTTACAGTTGAGACGACGAAGAGTCATTCTCTTCCCTTGCATTTCTGTCAAACCCTAACCCCAATTTCAAGCCCCCTCAACCTCAAGATCCATTTTTCTTATCAGAAATCAGTCTCACGCACTCACTCATCGTTGTTCCGATTGTCGATTGGAATCCCTGTTTAGTTTCCTGCGAGTTTCCTCTGTTTCTCCTCCCCCGCAAAATTCGGCCATGTCTACGCTGCCGGAGTTTAGTTGAATCGAAGATAATGATCATATTTTTGGCGTTGTTTCGCACCTACTTTTTTATGGGTTTGAACAATGCCGGTGCTTCGCAGAGGTGTGCGCAGAGGCCGCGGTAGGATCGTTCAGAAGCACTTCCAAGAGCCTCCGCCGGCTGGAGCTTACGTAAAAACTCGAGCTGCGGTCGCCAGAGAAGCTGCGGAGGCGAGACCGAGGCCAAGAACGAGGTTGGCAATCAAAGAATTAAACAAGAATCAGGAGGAAGAGGTGATTGTTATATCTGAGAGGGATACTGATTTGGAGGACAAAAAAGTGCAAGGGCTCGAGGTAGAAGAAGACAAGGGCGCTATGGGTGATGAAAGTGGCGGCTTGAGTGCTAATAAGGCTGCTGGCATAGAGGAAGAGGGTAGCTCAGCGCCTTTTCCGGAAAAGGTACATTTCATTTTGAAATACGCTCTACATTAGTTTGGTTGTTCTCATTGTTTCCTGTTTTTAATTTGCAATTTTTTGGTTTGGGCTAGCGGCTTTTAGGTTGATTGTGTTGTTAACATTAAAATTGCAAGAAATGAGCGTCTAACTTGCATTTAATTTTGGGCGACGGTGTTTTTTGTAAGTTTTCTTTCAGCGATCGTAGCAGTGTAGCCAGCTCACTTGTGTTATTATGGGACAATCATTTGCCGAACAACATTTAATATCGAATGCTCAAATTTAACAGTTCAGTTGACTGTCAAAGTTTAACTTCCGAGTCATCTGCATTCGCTTCTTCACTCTCTGAGCTAACATATCATGGTTTACTCTAGAAGGATCTTTCCACAGTAATTTTAAGCTCTTATTGATCTCAGTTGAATAGTTGCATAATGTCTATTGAGCTTACTCGTAAACGTTTACTGAATTTTTTCTTGTATAGAATTAAAATAAGAAAGATGCCTATTTTCGGCTTATCTACTTTTCTGAACTTCTAAAATCTTGTGTTATTGGGCTTGGCATGTCTGGGAAGTAATTTGAGTGAATTACCGTCTTCAGAATTGCTGTTTCATTGTAATTTTATTTATGTTTTGTGGCCTGATTCAAGGTCCAAGTAGGAGGGTCGCCAGTGTATAAAATAGAGAGAAAACTGGGCAAAGGTGGATTTGGGCAAGTATTTGTTGGTCGTCGGCTTACAGGTGGAAATGATCGTGCAACAGGGGCTGCAGCTACCGAGGTAAAACATCTTGGCAGTAGTTTTTATTAATATATGCAAATGAAATAAATTCTAATTTGTCAGTATCCATGTATCATCATATTCTTACCTTATATTGATTTATTTTATTTTCAGGTTGCTCTTAAATTTGAACACAGAAATAGCAAAGGTTGTAATTATGGTCCTCCATATGAATGGCAAGTTTACAAGTGAGTAACTTTCTGGGTTATGTGGATGTTATTTTTATTGATAAAAATTGTATTTGTTTTTACTCACCTCTGATACTTTGTTGAGTAGTGCACTTGGTGGCAGTCATGGAGTGCCAAAAGTACACTATAAGGGTCGACAAGGAGACTATTACGTCATGGTGTGTCAACAACTTCATCTTTTTGTGGTATATGGTTTTCATTTTTCTAATTTATTTCCTTCAAGTTTGAATGTTAAGCTTTCTTGTTTAGGTCATGGACATGTTAGGGCCGAGCTTGTGGGATGTATGGAATTCTTCAGGGCAGGCGTGAGTTTCTTGAACTTGTATCTCTATGTTGCTTTACTGGTCACATATGTTCTTGCATGTGTGTTGCATTACTTATCTTTGATACTAGAAGTGAAATGGTGATTTGGATTAATGCAATTTCCGGCTGGAGGAATTAGCTTTGCATATGGTTTTCAACTCTGGTCCGGGGATTTTTATTAAAACAAAACTTGAATGAGATTTGATGATATCTTGAGACCTGATTGACAGTGTCTTATCATTTGTCTTTAGAGATTTTACTCGACCCCATTCTTAATGATGTTATTACTAAATCAATATGATTCAGAATTGGGCATCTCTAGTCTTTAGTCTGTAAGAAAATAATCATTGGTCTATGGATCGTGGAATATGTAATTTGGACATTTATTTGTATGTGTCTTATTGTGGTTGGATTTATAGCAGTATGTCTGCAGAAATGGTCTCTTGCATAGCAGTGGAATCGTTATCAATCTTGGATAAGATGCATGCAAAAGGGTATGCAATTATGGTTTCTTTTTAAAAATGACTTACAAGTTTTCTAGTGTAATATATTGTATCTTGACCACCTCTTTTTTTTTCCCCCTAAATGATCAATAGTTATGTGCATGGAGATGTGAAACCAGAGAACTTTTTACTCGGTCAACCTTCTACCGCACAAGAGAAAAAATTGTTTCTTGTTGATCTTGGATTAGGCGAGTAAAGTTCTATACCCGATATAGTAACTGTACTTTTTTTTTTTCTCAATTTGTTATTATTGTATTTTGTTTCTTATGTCATCTATATCTTACAATTTTTCTGCAGCAACTAAATGGAAAGACAGTTCTACTGGACAGCATGTTGAATATGATCAACGTCCTGATATGTTTAGGTGAGTGATGTGTGCTGTCATCAAATCTTAATGCTATTCTGATCCTTATGGATGTTATAGAATCCATAATAGTTGTTGGCATGTGTCCATTTGATACTTAGTCTTAACACTAGCATTCGTTTTCTTATAACGTGGCTATTATGGCATGTTATGTTGATATTGGTTCAATGTTCTTGATACCTTTTCTTGCCTAACACCCCAGAGGAACTGTACGGTATGCTAGTGTTCATGCACATTTGGGCCGAACTGCTAGTAGAAGAGATGATCTTGAATCTCTTGCATACACTCTTATCTTTCTCCATCGAGGAAGGCTACCATGGCAAGGCTATCAGGTATTATAAATTTGTGAGTGTATCTAGCACTGTGCTGAAGTTTTTAGTTTCCTTGTCAAACTAACTTCTAACCTGCCGCTTTTTGTTAGGGTGACAACAAATCCTTTCTTGTTTGCAAAAAAAAGATGGCAACGTCTCCTGAAATGTTGTGTTGCTTCTGCCCCCCACCTATTAGAGAATTCCTTGAAATTGTGGTGAACATGAAATTTGATGAAGAGCCCAATTATTCTAAGCTAATATCTCTATTTGAGGGTTTTATTGGACCAAATCCAGCAGTAAGACCCATAAAAACTGATGGTGCCCAGAAGGTAATCAAATTGCCCCAAGTTTTTGGATGATATTGTTCATCAAATGTTCTATTGAATAAATCATTTATTTATAATCATTGCTAGATTATCAGTCAAGTTGGACAAAAGCGTGGCAGGCTGAATATTCCAGAAGAAGACGATGGGCAGCCAAGAAAGAAAGTTCGTTTAGGTGTTCCTGCGACACAGTGGATTTCAGTTTACAATGCTCGGCTGCCAATGAAGCAAAGGTGAAGTTAGATTGTGTAGCTTTCACTACCCCCTCTCATTTTACATGCAACCAGAAGAATTACATTTTGCATTGACCCAAAATGATAGGGAGATTGCTGGCACTTTCTTCACACCTAAGAACATTTATTTGATTTTAGGTCATATGCTATGAACTGTGAAGCATGTCATTACTTTTTCCTTGGAGTTTCTAATCAATTAATAAAAGTA